AGAGGTACAATCTCCTATTATGATGACTATCAAGGGGAGAAGAGATTTACTTATATTTACAGCACTCACAATTCCAAACTTGATGGTCAAAATGCATTGTGTATTTTTATAGCACATCCTTGTTCTAAGATGCAGCAACCCAACCTGTGCTGACTTTGTAACCAGTAAAACAATTCACAGAAGACAACACTGTTCATATCATCTACAGCACAACATTTTTGCACGTGCTGGCATACAGGAACACAAACTGTCCTCCAAGACTCCATGCGCAGCACAGACTAAAGAAGCAAGAGGAATTCTGAGGAAAACGCTTCACATTTCAGTTTTTATCCAATAAAACTTTTCTACATGGGCATGAAGCAAGCTTGGTCCATCTTCCATCAAGTCAAACTCTGGGCTTGTTTCTGCACTGTCTCACTCCCTTCATAGTTAGTTGTTCATACTTGTATACAGAGAATGCTCCTGGAAATTTTATGTTCACTCTGTGCAGGGACAAAGCAAAGACTGGATCTGTTCAGACGGAGCAGTCTTTCTGCACTACGACGTGCAAGAGAAAGGTATCATCAGTTCACTCTTCCAAATTCTCCACGACTGATATATTTGAATACAGCAAAGCCTTTTCGCCTGATTTTAATGTTGATTATTTCTAAAAAGAAGACTCCACCGATACCCCATGAGGTATCAACCAGCACCTCACCACCCTCTTCCCCTCCCTCCTCTTCTTCTTCTGCTCTTCCCTCGCCTATAATTTTGTTCTTTTGTATTGTTTTTTCTTTGACAGGAGTTTCCCTTAATCAGCAGGCAGACATTGTTTTCCTCCTGCTTCATTAGGGACAAGCCATTCATCCTTTCTGTCTGAGAAAGGCAAAGTTCAAAAGAACAAGTAATTAAAAGCAACTAATGATCAAGCTGGCCTCACAGGCAGTGCAGGAAACAATCTGCCTGACTTTCGTGCTCCAAGCAGCACAAGACATGGTTTATGATCAAAGATTTGCTTTTTTAGGGCTGAGATCTGTTTTCAGACAGGACAGATAGTGCTCTGGATGTGCTAAAGCCATCAACTTGCCCTCTTTAAGACTGTACCGACTTGAAGACTGTACAATTGGTGGGCCCATGCCAGGGCCAGAACATGACAAACTTGAGTGTATGCTAAGAAGCACTAAGAACACAGGGGTGATGCTCTGCTGGAACCCCTGAGTGTTACCTTGCATCCAAGTTAAGAAAAGGTGACTTTCAGAAACCACTTCAACCTATTCCAACAGGGGTCATTCTTGATTATGTCAGATGAGCTTTTAGATATTACTGTCTCTCTGGGAGCTGTTACTATGCAAACGTCAAATCTTCAAGTTTTCCCAGTCATGGCTAATGTGGTATCATTATGTATCTACACATCTGTTTAAAAGATGCACAGATCCTAGCATCAATTATGCCAAAATTTCCCTTATTTCATAAAATGAGAAGAGGCAGCATGTGGACACAGCTGAATCCTAAGACACTTGTCACAGACAGGAGAGGAAATGAGAATAGGGGCTGTCCTGGCCAGATGGTGGAGGTGTGACCCAACAGGCACGGCTATTCAAAGATTCCCATTTGGATGCTCGTACCCGAATACACTTGAAGAAATTCCTCCCCGTTCTCTCAATTTGTGAGTATTGGCTTCATGTAAGAAAGTACAGATACTTGGCTCATAAACATTAGTCTCAGTTAATTGTCCCGGACTCCTCCAAAGACACAAACCTACTTCAGTTTATAATTTTTGTCTGAAATGCCCTTTCTTCTTCACTGCTTACAGATGTGGAAAAACCCCAGCTAATCAAAGAACACAGTCCACTGCTCTGACAGCAAAGCTGACCACAATCATAACATAGCCAATGCTAATTATGAATGTAGCAATCTTTAAAGTTATTTTTTTAGCAGACTTTCCTTGTTGGCTCCCCTTTTCCTTCCATTTCCTCTGTGCAAAACACATACATTATTGCAAGAGTTTGCTAAAAATATAGATAGGCTGTAGCTAGAAATCACAATTAGAAATTACTCCAAATAGAAATCTTTAACTGAATTTCAAAAATGCATACATTTCAGTCATCTTTTCTGGTACACAAAAGTTTCTCAGACCTAGTGTTTCTTTAGGAATTTCTCTTACTTTTTGGAATGGAAAGCATAGTCTGTTTCTAGTCTTGTTTCTAGATGTTTTTAAATTGATCTCTTATTTGTCAAGATGAAGTCTGCTTCTCAGTAGTAAAATATTTTTTCTGGCATTAGAACAGCTAGTTAAGAGATGCACAATTTTAAAGACAACTGAAGTCTCACAAAATTGGCTAACTAAAGAGGAAAGGGTAGTTCTTACATTATTTTAAGCATAAAAGCAGTTCCTTACTGTCCTCTAGTGGAGTAGTAATACTCTGACAAACACTAACCGCTCCTTTCTGCTTGGAACTAAACCTGCTGTCCCTTAGTGAGCAACCCTTCCTATTTACTGCTTCTGCACTTCCTGACTTTATGGCATCTATCACACCCCTTCTTCTGTGTCTCCTTTCCAGACCAAATCTTACCTTCTGCTTTGCAAATTTTTCCTTTTTTTTTCCCCTCTATATTCGAGTTCTACTTGCATAGTGAATAACTTTCTACTTTGCCCTCCACACTTTCTCAAAACACGTATAAATAGGCTGAATGAAACGGGTCCTAGCAGAACTCCACTGAAATTTCCTCCCACTGTGGTGATTTATGTACCTTTAAACGTCATAATCTAGGAAGGAACTTTTCCTTTTATAACATGACAAGTTGGTTCTACTACGAGCTGTCAGATGAAACATGCTTTGACACCTTCAGAGTCTAAAAGACCATCAGAATGACTTGCCTGTAAAAAGTGTCAACTTTTCACATTATATTTACCTATAGGTCTGAAAATCTTGTTGGTTACACTCTTATTAATTAGCCCACTGTTTCCAGTACTCCATAAAACTCATCAGGCTGAAGCTCCATTTATCTCCTTGGAACCTTTTTTTAAAGTCTGATGGCTGAAGGCAGAATTGTCACTTTGTACTCCCTGACCATCAAAGCTGCTTTACAATTTCCATGCTACAGTTTCTTCTCTCAACTTTCGAATCCATGGGAGAATGCTCCAGTCCTGGCAGCTTGCTGGCACTCATTTCTTTGCCTTTTTCAGCCATTTCAGTTTACAACAGCTCTGCCCACCTGCCCTGCAAAGAAACCTTTTTAGGCACTTCCATAATGAACATTGGTGCAAAATGCCAACTTCTCTTGTGACCTTACCTTTAAATGTTCTCATTATTCTTTGAACATTTACCAACTTACTGTGAAGTTTGCTCTGAGAGTTCTTAAAAATTTGATTTATAATTAATTCTTTAAGAAACTTTTTCATATAGCCTACTTCATATTTTACATTTGATGAGTTACAATGTGCCTCTCCACTTTTTGTGGACAGAACTTGTACTTTGCAAAGGTTTTTCCTAGTTAAAAGCACCCTCCTACCTTAATTTCTTTGTCAAAAATTTTTTTTTTGATGGAGAAGTATTTATTCAGAGCATGTTAATAGTTGTCTTAAAACAATTTTCAAGATACCTGCAGGAATTCTACCTTTTTTGGCAGCACCTGTTAATTTTATTAAAGTTTTCTAATTTTCAGGAAACTAGACTTAGCTTGGCATGGATTCTTTGACTATCTGCTCCAGGAAATGACCATTTACAGTGTGTAAATATTTATTGTCAGCATGTATGAGTATATATGGGAATGACTAAAGATTTTCATTGTTATTGGGCTTTATGCCTTTGCTCTTCCTTAGGCTATATCCCTGTGAAATGCTAAAGCAAACCAATCAGCTAAGCAGAGAGGATGGGGACAGTGCCTGGTGATACACCTTCTTCTGTTTTTCTGCAAGGCCTGTGATTTCAGCCTAAGAGGATTTTGTGTTACTTAGTGTTACAGTTAAATTAATCAAATATTTTTAGTTTTCTTTTTAGCCATATGACATAACCTCTCTACCAGTGGAACCTACCGCAACTCCTGTATAACTACACTTGGAATTAAATGGTCCTATCCACCAAGTTTTTAAATACTTACTTTTTTTTTATAAACATACACATATGTATAAATAACACAAGAATAAAAAGTACAGCTACATTTATATATATATATATAAAAGTAAATCTACTTTCTATTATTTTATTTTGGTTTAAGGCATTTAAACAGTTGCTTGCTTTACAATCTGTTTTTAAAGAGAATTCTCACTGGTTGAACCTAACTCTGATTGTACACTGCTTGAACATTTTATTCTGTCCCAGAATGCTCCTTTATTCCTAAGTATCTTATCGTGATCTTTGGCCTGCCTACCTACGTAAAAGCATTACCCTGCCTCTGTGATACTGCATGCTCTTATTCTCTAAGAGCAAGTATGAAACTATACCCCCTGCTACAAAAAATTAATTTAAAATATCTCTGGAGAACCCTTCATAATCTAGTGGACAGCAATGGTCGTCGCCTAGAAGAACTCCGTGCATAGTTGTCATCCAAATTTAGATAAAACAATGCTTATCTCTTTATCAGTAAGTAAGATGTAGATATACAAACAGATCCAAATTAAGAAAAAAAGAAATATTGGATATTCTAATTTAAACACTGAGGAAAACATAGTACTATACATTTAACACCAAAATTTAAGAGACACACTTAGACTACATGGTTTTCATACCTCCAAACTATTAACAGTAGATATGTTTCATATTTACTACAGCTTTATTACAAGCAGATATAACCATTATGGCCAAAAAAAGAAAGGCTGTATAAAAAAATCCAGTGCAAAATAAAAGCACCCTACAAAAGTCTGCATTTCTGTTCCCATTCACAGGCATTTAGACCTTGCAAGAACAACCGATTTCAGTGACTTCAGTTACTCATGGACACAGAGTTTAGACAGGATTTGCTGGAATTTTATCTGTTGACTTCAAATGAAAAAAAAAAAAAAGGGAGACTCATTGTTTGATAGGTGCAAAAATTAATACAAAATGTATTAACACAATATGAAACAAACATACATTAAATAGTTTTGTTTCCTGGTACATCATATTTTCAAATGAATTTTATAAAATTTACATATTTAACTAAATGATTTATTTATCATTGTTGAAAACACAGTTCTTTATTTCAAGTTTATATTAACTATATATATCTAAGGACAGGAAAGATACTCTTCAAGTTGGTGTGCTTTACTTCCCCATCCTTTATGTCCTCTGCTCTTTGGCTTTTGGAGAAAACATTACAGCATAAGGCTGCCGTCTTTTTGGACGTTGGCAGGGAGCAAGATCCTCTTTAATATATCCTTAAAAGAAAAAGAACAAATCTGAGGTAAGAAGTACAATATAAAAACATGCATGTTTTCCCTCAAAAAATAACTTTTGAATTTTTTTTTCCTTTTGTGCCAACTGATTCTCACTTGACAAAAAGTTAGAGATCCCAGGGTGCAGTATCATTAATGAAAACACTCAGCTGCTTTCTAGCCGATGACTGCATAGCAATGCAATACAGACACATAATACTGAAGAGGAGAATGGAAACTATGAATTGGTCATCTATTCAAAACAAAACTGCATTTTTCATTGCCTTTTCTACAGAAGATTTTACATAAGGGTAAAAAAGCATGTAAGTACTGCAAATTCAGTTGACTAATGAAAATAACTTTTAGAAATGTATTTCTTAGTCATACAGAAAGAAACTTCAGGCACATGTGCTTTGTGGGTCTAAATAGTACATCACTCTGTTTTGTGGGCACTCTTATTTATTAAAGACTTGTCCACCTGGAAAAAGATAAACTTGGACCTACGGATCAAACCCACCTTGAAAGCTCTCTGATAAAAGTGTACAGAAAATTTCTATAACATGCTCAACTTGGCTAACACTCATAGTAAGCAGACATTTTATGCAAATCAGTTACAGAACCAGGCTTTTGTCAAACCTTTACTGTTTATCATCACTAACATCCACTGAAGCTAAAGTAGTAGAGTCCTACTTCATAGTTGGAAATTGCTGTCTATGCAACTCAGTTATTTAAAAAAAACAAACTTAAAAATATAAAAAATTTCAGGGAACCAGTTCAGAAAAAAAATCAGCTTTAAAAAGTGCTTTGTAAGCCTTTTTTTAAAAACAAAACAAAACAAAACAAAGCCCACAAACCTCTTTCCACACAAGTTTGAGTGGAAGGAAATCCAACCTCCCAGAAATTTTCAGGTGTATTTGGAGGAATGTAGCGAAATCTGTGTCTTGAACAGGAAGCTAGTTTCTTTTCTCTCTCTTCTTCTGGAATATCTGCATAATACTGAATGTTAGGGAAAAAAAAAATCCAAGTTAACAAATTCATACATATAGACCAACTGCTTTACACAATTACATGGTCAATCACTGTTTATTAACACAGTTATCTAAAAATAACAGTGAGGATGGCCAAGAGTAGAGATTTGTTATCCAAATGACAAACAACTGGCTGTTATCCTAAAAGCTTACTGAATTTAACAATTAAGTATAACCTTATGGTGACAAATTTGTTAGCTTTATATCTTTTAACATACCATAGGTACAGGGTTTAGGTACATGTACAATTATGTCAACAGTTTTACTGACTGATTTTACAAAGCTAAGTAGCACAGGTGTTGAAATAGACGGGGATTTTCTAATAAACTAAGTTTCCGCATGCATTTACAAATAAAATAGAAAAGTGTAAAATGCACTACAAAATCCATGCTGCAGAATTATTTCCCATGTCTAAATTTACAGTAGTAGCAGCAAACTTAAGTCAAAATGCTTGCTACTTTATTACCCTGAAATTAGAAGTAAATAAAAAGCTAGTTAACTAGCTGACTGACACTGGGACTCCAGAAACTATCTGCCAGCTGGGCATACTCTAGAGTATGCAGTAAATTAGCTAGCTACTCTTTCATCTCTATCAGCTGTGCTGAGGGCTACAACAAGGTAAGTATATAAACTATGAATTTTTTTTCTGGGTGAAGTATAAGTAGCATCATGGAAAGACAGTTCTTTTTCATGCAGTTTTCTACTGTTTTGGTTTGTGATCATAGTTATCTCCTAAAAAGGCAATCTGGCACTTAGGTATCATAGACTGCTAAAATATTTTCAAAGCAAATTCACTGTTTGATTCAAGTGGCAAGCCAACAGTCACACTCTGGACTGCACAAGAAATCTGACCCTCATAGAAGTGGTAAAACAATTCTACTGAAATGATAGCATTACAATTCAAAAAGGCAAATAAAGTTTAAAACCTCATTCAATCAGCTGGAAAGTGATCTAGACTGGGGAACTCAGGAAAGGAACAGAATACCTCTGTTTATAATAGAGATTACTTCCTGTCCCCATCTACTGGTAGGATTTCAGAAAAACCTACCTACTTGGAATCATAAAGTACACTAATAAATTCCTTTTTTCCTACTAGCTGGCAAGCAAAGTGTAAAACAGGCATAAAAATCCTCCTAAAAAAAATTATATACAAATATTGATGACTGTATAGAAAAGAGTAATCACAGCTCTGAAAACATTAGTGACAAAACTGCACTTGTTTCACTTTGTGATTTTGTAGTCTGCAGGAACTACAACTCTGCCTGAAACTGAGGTCGTATTTTCTTCCCCTGCCCCAAATCAGACTTCTTGACAGTCTTCTACAAAGTGTGACACCACTGCTCTTGAAGCAGGACAGGAAGTACAGGAATCTGATGTAACATGTGGGTCTCCTGGTCAAGAACAGATTTGGGTTGTTAGCAGATTGTATCAAAAATTTCAGATTTCTGGTCTGCCTACTACAAAGTCCTGGTACGCAAGACAGAATAAACTGACAGTTCCATAGATAATATTCAGTAACAGTTATGAGCCCGTACTAAAAGGTTCTTCAAAATGTGTTATGTATAAGCCCAGGATACTCCCACACTCTTGCCAGCAGAACCCCTTTCAGTCACTGAATTTGGAGACACTTAATTTGAAAACATTTGCCACTGTCTTATACAATGTTCCCTTAAACAGGAAGAAGCCTATGCCAAGACCAGAACTTAAGTGGATATTAGTAGCTTGGGGCTTGAGTCAGAATAGGGCCACTTATGCAGCTGGACTTCAGAGACACAGCTGGAAGAAGATCTGTGTCACTCACCTGAAGATCTAGAGACTAATGAAAGAAGAGGAACAGGTAATTATCACCTAGTACACATCAATTTTCACTGAAAAAAGTTAAGAAATTACATGGTATTAAGTCAACAAAATTAAGTGCAAGAATTCTACAGTATCTGCGCAAAGCAAAGAGATTAATAGCTGAGTCTTATTTAGGGATAATTAGCAGTGCACCTTATGTTTGTCCTTTCAATAGCCTGTAATTTTAGAAATCGGCCTACTAAAAGTTTGTGGTATCCTGCACTTCTTTTTGGAATTAAAATGTTCATGATGGTGAGGAGTATTTATGGATCAAACAATGAAGAACACAGTACAGTTTTGAAGGAACAGAAAATAAAAAGACCAATCAATAATGAAGCTAAGTATATATTCAAAATAAATTTTGGCTTGCATAACCTATTAGGGTTGATAAAGAATAAGAAAGTTACATATAAGTCTGCTAAACTGCAAGAAGAACTCAGCTGTTTTCTAGATTGATCTCACTATTGACAGCATTTTCAACCCACACAAAACATTTGAGCTAGGCTTTTCCATGTGTGAAAAGCCACGCAAGATCTCATCCTGTAGTGTCTTCACCGTAAGAAAATTGGTTACAAAACTCTACAATTTGCAGTCTCAATGAGAGAACAATGTTAAAATTTAAGTTCCTTGCATTAGTTTAGCACAAAGTTACTTACAGAGTAATTTCTGTAACCTAAATGTATATAAAAATATCTGACTGATTCTCCTACTTATCTGAAGTGTAGCTGGACTTAATAACCACACTACCAAACATTACTTTTACAAGCTACCTCCTGCATACAATCTTTCTCCAGTTGCATAGCAAAGTCATAACAAACCAAAACAAGACCTCTTATCAAATGTCCTACACTGTAAAGTGACTGAGATGCTTCTGCAAAGTTTTAAACAAGGGCTTATATAGAATCATAGAATGGTTTGGGTTGGAAGGGACCTTAAAGATCATCCAATTCCAACCCCCCCTGCCATTGGCAGGGACACCCTCCACTAGCCCAGGTTGCTCAAAGCCTCATCCAGCCTGGCCTTGAACCCCTCCAGGGATGGGGCATCCACAGCTTCCCTGGGCAACCTGTTCCAGTGCCTCACCACCCTCACAGTGAAAAATTTCTTCCTAATAATGAATCTATAACTACCCTCTTTCAGCTTGAAGCCATTATCCCTCGTCCTCTCACTACACTCCCTGATAAAGAGTGTTTCCCCATCTCTCCTGTAGGCCCCCTTCAGGTACTGGAAGGCTGCTATAAGGTCTCCCTGGAGCCTTCTCTTCTCCAGGCTGAACAGCCCCAACTCCCTCAGCCTGCCCTCACAGGGGAGGTGTTCCATCCCATCCATCTCTGATAATTTTTGTGGCCCTCCTCTGAACCCACTCCAACAAGTCTATGTCTTTCCTGTGCTGAGGACCCCAGAGCTGGATGCAGTACTCCAGGTGGGGTCTCACGAGAGCAGAGTAGAGGGGGAGAATCACCTCCCTCGACCTGCTGGTCACACTTCTTTTGATGCAGCCCAGGATACAGGATATCGCAGACTGATACCAAAGTCCTCTAGAACATGTGCAGAAGTTAAATCTCTCACATCTTCTCAGAATGACAGGTAACTCTCCCCACTCACACTGCTTGCAGCACATGGCCAGAAACAATTTACTTCTTTCTACCCACTCCCTAAATATCTCATTAGACTTTGGCAACTTTTCAAACCCATATGACTAATAAGCAAGCCAAGACTTTTTTAAAACATCATTTATGCTTTGTCTAATACTCCCTTCTTTGACAGACACTTCATTCAAAGCTAGTTTTATTATGGTGCAATGACACAGCCAAGCATTCCACACATTCCAAGACATCCATCTTGAATAGTGTAGCCTTAAAAAAACAAACCAAAATAAAACAACTTTCCTGAAGTTTAATGTAGAAACCTAATATTGTAAAATTGGAGCTGTAAATGTTTCCAAACACCATAGTTACCACTCTAACTTGCCAGAAAGTAACTAGAACTGCATTTGCTAAGTGGAGAAGATCTGTCACTTACAGAGACAGGAAATTAAAACACTTAACACATGACTCTTGGGCCAAGAAATAGATGGAAGGTTTGGGATTTTTGTTTTGGTTTTTTTCCAGCATCTGGATTTCTTTCAAACTCTTTAAATCAAAGACATTTTTGAAAATTATATTTATATCTGACTGTAAAACTTAAATTATTTGTATTCAATGAGTTTTACCAAAACTATTTTTCAGGAATGTGTTTTTGTTAAAAATATACTCTAATAAAGTTCTTCAGGTAAGTAAATTTGACTTCAAAGTTGACTATAAAGTGAATATCAGGAGATTCTATGAAAAATGTTGGTTCTATATAGGTGTGGAAATTAAGTGAAAAGATTCCAGAGAATCCATCATTATTCAGTCATTAATCCACACTTCTGGCAAGTCATAATGTATTAGATCAACACCTAATTAACTCCAGCATGAAAATCTATTAATGATCAAATTAAATACATCCTTATTACACATGCACTTACTTCAATTTTATTTTTTTTTCTATACCAAGTATCTGAAACCAGTTTAGCAATTTGTATGGGAGGAAAAAATGTGTAATATGAAACCTAAAGTTTCATACTTCTTAACCTGCTAATGTAAACATTTTTGTATGCATTTGCACATATATACACATTGGCACCTATGCTGGTGCAATTACCTGAAAATGCAGACACCTCAGAAAACAAGGAAAAAAAACCAAAACAAACCACAAATCAAGATATAACTCTATATAGGTACAACAGGACATAGAACTTACTTGGTTCCAGTACCTTTAAATTTCAGTAGAGCTTTTGAGATAAAGTTTAGAAACTTATTCATTGACTAGCTCATGTATTTTTTATTAACAAAAATCTTACTGGAATCATGATGTGAAAAGTTTCTATAATACAGATACACACAAAAAAATTTAGGACCTTCTAAGTTATATGCAATTACTACAGTTAAAAACAAACCAACCAACCCAAAACTTGTTAAAACAGCTTTGGTAAATACTTCTCTGCTACTGTAGGTACTGAAGATGATGCAACCAGATCCATAATTTCAACAACACTTCAGGACTTAGATACTAGCAGAGTTAGGAGAATGGAAGACTGACCAAATTTTAAAGCACTACTTACTATTTCACATTCTTTACAAGTATGGCCAGGCAATTTTCTTCTTTCTTCTTTTTTTCGAACAACCTCAATATGAGGAAAATCTAACACAACATTCTTTCTGAAAAACAAAAATGTGTTCACACGATAGTACATTTATTTCTTCTGGAAGTCTGGAAATTTCCAGTTTTTAGAACGCAATAAAGGAGAGTCTCAAGAAAAGAAAAAAATACTAGAAAATGTCTGTAAAACCCATTCATACTGCATTTCATAGCTGAATTTTTGTAACTAAAACAGTTCCAGGATTTTTTAAATGCAATATGATTTTTTACATAAACAGAGATGTGTGTATCATTATTATGCCTTTTCATAGTGTGAAAGTAATTACTAGATTGAAATTACTCAAATATAGATCTTCTGTAGAATATTTATTTTGTCTGAGACACAGTTGTGCTTGCACTGATTTCTGCAAGAGGAATGTATGTTTGGGTTCAAGAACAGAACAGATTCTTTTCAACTTATCTGCTCATAAAACACTAAACAAGTTTTCCTCTACAAAAAAAAACCATGCTGAGGTAAAAAATAAGCTAACAACTATCTAACTGAAGGGCTTGGTATCATTATGAAATGAAGATTCAGACTACCAATTACGCAGAAAGGCAACAGAGGAAGCACTAAGAGGTACAGTTGTTAAATATTACTAATTTATTGCCTAGAGGAAGGGGCAAAAATGCCAGAGAAGGAAAGGTGTTTATTTGTACAAGCAGCCCATAGGCTCCTTGCTCAAACTCATGGATGACCACATGCCTTTAAGAAACAACATGGATTACAAAATACTGCATTCAATAAAATTATAAAGAACAGAACAGGCCATCCCTTGTCTTCAGCAAATGTGATAGTCAGCCACCTCAATGTGTGTATTTTTTCCCCCTACCCCAGCTTTTATCTAAGGCTTTTATCTAATTCAGTAGATCTTCTACCTGTGCATCTTCAGCCGCTAGTATGTTACGCACGAACACGTTCATCTTATGGAAGAACAAGTTCCCCTGTGAGGATATAAATAGCCTTAAAATGCCTATACAAACAAACTAAATTACCTTTCATAACTTTTGAAATAAGGCTCCACAAAAGCTTTCTGCTTGGCTTTGTCTTGTTTATCCTCATGTTCTGTAAATATACACGCAAAACAAAAAAATTACATGTCATAAGATCAACAGACTGCTTGGAGAAACACCTGTAAAACTATTAGCCAGCTATTAAGAAACACAAAAATGCCATGTACATTCAATCTGAGACAACAGATTCAAAGAGATACTAAAAATAATATAGAATTGATTGAATCAGTGATCAAAAAGCATTACTAGAGTAGAAGGAAAACAGCAGCAAGACAATTAAAAAAGATAAGCAGAATAGCGAAGGCAAGGCTGCTTAAAATACAAAATACTGCAAAATCTTCAACAGAACCTAGGATAGGGAGAAGAAAGGAATGAAGTAATCTGCAGTCAAAAACTGGTGTTTCTTGTAAGAGTCACTTTGCTGTACAGCTCCCATGCCAAATCCCATTACACATCCCATATTTGTGTGGTGGCTATATAAATGAGCTACCAAAAGAACATAAACCAATACACAAATTACATCCTTACAATGAATAAATTTTCACATGAATTTATGAAAAATTGACTGATGGTTGGCATGTTTGTTCCTTGAGAACGGAGTCTGATTTCAAATCAACTTTTGTAGTTTAACCAGGCTAATAAAGACAAAACAAATTATATCTCACTCTTTAGTTCTTTGCTTGCTGCTGTTATTCCCTTATCTTGCTCTTCATCATGAAGAGTTTCTTTTTCCTCGCATGCAGAAGGACTGTCTTCTGGTAGGCAGGATTCATATTCTTCATGGCTTGTCCGATCAAACAGATCTGTTAAGGTATCATTCATTTTTTTTTCTCCTCCTATTATAAAAAAACATAATGAATATCCAAATCAGTCTCTCAACAATTTAAGTCAAGAAAGTGCGTTTTGATTAAATGTGTATGAAAAGAACTAACATTATACTTCCTGCTCCAGTACCGAGTACCTCAACATCAGTTACACATTTATTCTTTCTGCAACTGCTCTGCCAATCTTTCAAGTGTGGTCAATGCTTATTTATTTTTCATAAAGATACCTCGATCCCATTTCTAAAATTTGATTAGTTGCTAAATCACTTAGATGTTCCTTTAACCTTAATACTGGATACGTGACATTTTTGTTCTTGTAATTATGGTGTTACCGAAGCAGAAGGAAATACGTTCTCTGGGTAGGAGACAAACTAGGGAAATGTGATCAAGCTGCAAAAGCTTGAAAAACCAAAACACACTGTTAAAAGTCACTGCCCTGAAGCCATGATTCACCACATGCCATACATTAAATGTGATATAAACACCTTCGGATTTATTTTAAATATAATAGTTCTATTTATATGTCATTAAAAATGAAATTAGTCTTCCCATAGAAAGTCTGATATGATTACACAGCAAACTTTCAGTGCTTGTTGTTGTAACAGCGATTGTTGCAAGTGAGATCAGAACTATTATACAGTTAAGTATTTAATTCTTTAAACACTATAAAGTCATAGCTACTGGCTCTATCTCAGCACAAATCCTATCATTTTCTTAATCCATGTTAAAAAAACTTCAGCAACTGCCACTGATTCTACTAGGAAACAGACTGATCTTTGTAACCTACAAAAGTACATCAGTGCTTTTTTTACTGCTATCTATTCATACAGGAAAAAAAGTGCCCTTCACTCTTTCTTCCTCCTCCTCCAAAAAAAAAGCAAACCAAAAGAAAAAAAAAAAGTCTTACTTGGACTGCTTTCCTGGTTTTGATCTTGATTTTTCATTTTTAATAGCACACTTTCACTAACATAGGTGTAATCCATATCAACAACTTCCCCTCCAACTCTTGACTGAGAACCACCCTAAATAAATAAAAAAAAAACCCAAATATGACAATGGCACTCAGAATCAACTGGTGTGGTCAGTATCATTACTGTGTATCTAAAACACTTTCACAATAGTTACTGGCATCTTTTTGGACACTTTCTGTGATTTTTTTTCTGCAGTAATGTCTGCATGATAAATATGTAAAATCAAGGTAGGAAAATGGCATATTTTGAAATTCAAATATGAAGCATTTATCTGGTGGATTACATTACTTGATGGGCAAGAAATGCCTTAGAAGTTTTCGTGTTAAATTCTACAAAGATAAAAAGTAACAATGAAATATACAAAAATTAAAACCTAGTCAAATTTTACAGATTTTAAGATTGCCTTTAAGTAAGACAAAACAAATAGAATTCAGGAAAATTCTCGGAGATCCTAATAACCAACCTGCACCCAAATCAAAGAAAGATAATAGTCATTATAACAGAAAGAGATATTACAGTGAACATTTTCACAGGAGAAATTATGAGATTTAGAATGCTTTTTTTTGTCTTAAAAGAAACCCAAAACCACCCCTAAATACATCTGTTTCAGCCTGAGTAGCCACCTGGCTGAGTTTATCAAATACAACTAGACAGTGAAAATGTTTTAGCATAACTAATGTACTCAGCATAAACAAACATTTCAGGAGCACAAATAAATATCAAATGAGCTGAACTTAGATTTTTATTAGAAAGTGGTTTTGGTTTGGCCAGAATAAAGTTCATGATACTACTTTCGTAGCCTATTTTCAGCATCACACAACATGCAGACTTGTGCTATACAAGTTTACCTTTGTATCAATCACAGTAACGTCCATTTTGTACTGTGAAAGGTCAGCTCCTGGGTCTATGCTCCACTGGAGATTTTCTAAAGAAGGTTTATCTTTCAGGTCTGGATGCAGAGAATACAAGGAAAAAGACACACAATAATAATCAAATTCTGTCAGCAGCATCCTATAGTGTGTAAATTATAAGTCAGCTTTCCTTTTATCAATTCTTTTATCAGCCATCTTTGGGTTTAGGCATTGATTTTTCTCAAACAATAAACATGCTCATTTGGTGTAAATTGTATTTTGTCTGAAGAGTTAGAAACAGATCTAAGTTTTTTGTCATATTCAAGGAGCACACCACTCCTCTGCGTTTGTATGAGTATTGTATTATTGTAATACATAAAATAGTCTTGCAGGTAAAATCTCACTACCTGGTTTACACAGTACCATCAATACAGGATAGAAGACATCAGATCAATAAGAATACAAAAGTCAGGTCTTGGAATACAAAAGAGTACAAAAGTGTCTGGTCATTGTTACAGAGTTGGCTCTTGATCTGTGAAGTAGAGGTTTAGCTTCCAAGCTACATGGCCATGCCAACTACTGACAGATTTTTTTTAAATTCATAATGCAAGTATTTCTAAAGTATGCAGTTCAGCTAAGGAGTACAGAAGCAGTGATGCTACAATCCCAGTTCAAAAAATAAGTTTTCAGACTGGGACCACTTAACAGGAGAGAAGATGCAATTTCTAGGAAAGAGTATTTGGCAGCATTGGTTCATTATCATTAAAAGTACAAATTTATTTAACAGATCATCAGGAATAATGAAAAATATTAACAAAATGGTTTATCCTTACACTTAAGTACAGTTCTCAAGCATTCGATATAGACAGTTTAAACTCAAACTTCCTGAGATTTTATTTCAGTATCTGTTATTCACACGCTGCAGTAAACAAAAATGCTAAATAAATAAGAAAGAACAAGATTCCTAGTCTGTTGGGTTTACAGCTGAATGCCAATTATATATTTATTACATAGTGGCAAAAGAATTCTGGGAAGATACAGACTGAACATGTGGGGGGTGATCTTGAGAAGTCCCCGAACAGAATGAGACTCAGTTAGAAGCAGAACAAAGAAAGTGATCAAAGTGGGAGAAAAGAAGACAAGAAAAATTCTGTTCAACCATAGCACAGGCTGGGGTGGGTAGGGGGGCAATAAAATTAACATTTTTGTCAAGTTACCTTGCTCATTTTGCAGTACTTTATTTTTTGATAGTCTACAAGGGTTTGGTTGAAGTACAGATGCTGGTTCAGAGTCTCCATGTCCTGTCCTTGTTTTCTTTCTATTTGGTACATGGCCACTGGCAACCTAACAACATATTGCAGTTTTACTATTGCCCAAAACTAAAATATAATATTTCAAAGGAGAAGAACAAGAGTCAGAAAAGCATACCTTTACATCATCAAAAAGTTGCTCTGTCTCTGCAGAACTTGGCAGTGGTGCAATTTGGAAGGGAAGAACTTCTTCTTTCTTATGTATCTGGTTTTTCTTATCTGGGAATGTTTTTCCCAGCATTGCCTCTTGTACATAGGATTCCTCTTGTAAATCTCTGCCAAATAAACAGCTCTTATTGTTGGCATTTTGAATGGATGATGAACCTTCAGGAATGGGCTTCTCTAAGTGTGAAAAAATGTCATGCAGAGTCACCTGTTTCAGTCTATTTTTACAGGATTCCTCGCTTCCTTGTTTTTTCTCTTGACAATGAACTCCAGAGAAGCGATCAGACAGATCCAAGGGCTTATCAACTGTATGTTCCCCATTAACATGCTGAACATCTGAAGGAAAGGGCATGGAGTTCTCTTTGTTGAAAGATGCTTTTTCACAACTAATTGCATGCTCATCTTCAGCTTTCTTTCTCTTAGCACACCTGCCTTCTAGCTGTGTCTGGTGTATGAGAAGGAAGTCGCTCTTGACCACCTCATTTTTAGCTGCGCAAGTGTTTCCAACACAGGTTACAGCCTCATTAGTATTCTTTTTCACAACCATTTGCCTATTGATAGAGGCTTGGCTGATAACCGAATTGACTTCCGTTCCAAGATTCAGTGGTGCAACAAAAGCAACATCTTCAGATTTTGATCTACTTTTATGAGATCTGGAACCATAAGGATTGTTGAAGAGGTTGGTTTTGAGATTAGACTTCAATCCTGAATCTAAAATACAAGGGGCATGACTTGTACTTGAGTTGTTCTTCATACTGCTAGAAGCTCCAAAAACAGGAGAAGCTACCTGAGAATCCCAGTCAACATGCGGTGGAGTGTTCTGAGATGGATCTGAAAGGCTGAATACAGTGAGAGATGAGATATTTTCAGTGTACACAGGGGGCTGGGAGGAGAGAAAGGGATCTACAAAAATTGCAAGTTTCCTGTCACTGATATGCTTTAAAGCTGTCAAGAGTTGCTAGTATTATCTGAAAACAGAGGGAAAAAGGAAATTTTTGGTCTAGGAGTAAGTACTGTTGCACTTAGAGCTGTAAAAGTCATACAAAACACAGACTTTGTCCTTCATTTGAAGTATGGTGTGAAATTCTATTCCACATTCAACTGACAACCAAGGACAGAATTAAGCCTACCTACGAATCTGTTCTAACAAAGGACTCCCTACCTTTCAATGCAGTGAAATGGGAGAAAGCAAGAACGGCTGTGACAGCAGTCTATCTAGGTTCTTGTATAGATCTTATAACCACAATAACAGATTCTCAAAGCTTCTGCAAATGAAGGAAAAATGTGCAAGCTTCTTTCAGGTACTCTGTTTTTTTTATTTGTCATCAATAAAACATATATTTGAGATGACAAATAGAAACTAAAAAAAAAATTCATTTTAGACCACAACATCCTGAGAAGCATGGGGGAAGGGTAACAGTCAACCGGTGTGACACCTAGTCAGCAGAAATGTTTTATGATAATTTTCCTACCCCAGCTTCAGACCTCCTACCCCCAGGTTTATGGGCCTCAGAAGATACCTCGCAATAACAAGAAGTCAGAGAGGGATGGACTGTGTACACAGAAAGCCCAAGTCAGAAGTTTGAGAACGAAATAAAAGTCCACAGTTTTGTATTATATCAGTTCCTTTGCTTCTAATGTTATTTACTTGAAAGAAACCCATATAATATGAAAATATTTATTTCCATGTCTGTACCTTTAAAGCAAATTGCTGTAAGGTTTTAAATTCTACTAAAATCTGAACTTCACGTAAGCCTGCTTAAAACAATATTATTATAACCAAGTGGAAACACACCCTAAATTGTTGTCATCATTTCTTGATTCAGAAGCTGGATGTTTTCTTGAGTCTTCAGGCTGCATGGTCTCTGGTGCCTGGCTCATAACAGTATTAGTGCAGGGAGGACTCAGTACACTCTGGGACTTCTTGCAAGTGGTGAAGGAAAAAGTGAGAAGCTATTAGAACTAAAAATTAGAAATATGCTAGGTTTGTACATAAATACCGTGAAGACCCATTCAAATTAAACCACTCAAAACTCTGAAAAATAATAAAAAATTAAGAGAGATTAAATTTTGACCAGCAACTTTAACGAAATCTTAAGAAAATTTCAAAATGTCATCACTGAAATTCACACAAACAAAAAATAGTCTGCATACTATCATTTTCATTGGTAGTAACCAAGCAAAAGCATCAAATAATCTCACCTGAGCTGAACAGTCTCATCACCAAATAATCTCTTCTAGTGTCTTAGACTTGATTACTGCACAAAGGGAGTTTGTCAGACCCAAGGATTTAGTCTACTGTCTTAGTCAAAATTGAAAGTTGTATACACGGCAGGAATCGCGCCCATACCCTCCTTCCCCAACCCCCAGACAGGTCAGCACAGTTATATCTCTTCTCGCTAGAGGCAATTCAGTAATGAGTAAGCAAAAGCAAACCAAAGTGAGCTTACTGGAACTTGGAATACTTTTGCAGAATTTTAATGCAAAAGAGAAAACTACTGTTTTCAAAAACTAGCACAAAACCTGATTATGGAAGAAATTTGGGACTACTACTTACAGACTCGTCTTGAACAGCAAGTCCAATTGTTTCTGCCACGACTGCAGCCAAGTTAAAAGAAGGCTTTGGAACAGGATAGCCTCCCATCCTTGCTTTATCTTTATGAGTAGAAAGAAGCTCACAGTAAGTTACAGATACATTATAGTACCTTACTCTACTCACACAGATGGTACAAGCACAGAACTAAAAAGATCACAAATTAAAATTGGTAATTGTGGTAACAGTGTCACCTGTGTCAGATAAAAATCCTACCTGGAAGTAGTAAGTGGAGAAGGGAGACAAAAGAATTTCTGATGAGAGCAAACTCATCAAAATATGATGGGAAAGTACAAGAACTACTACCACTACAAGCCTGACTTGCACAAATTATTCCAAAACGCTGATTCTTGCAGTCATTTATAATTAAATATTTCACAGGAAAAAATCAAGGACACAAAGTTCTTGTCAAAGAACTGTTTATGGAGAAGGACTTAAGACTTAAAGACTAATTAATGAATAATTAACTTCTATATGTTACATATTCATGTCAGACAGCAAGTGCAATTCTCAGAATATTTTATCTCCTATACAGTTGGAAAATCAGACATAAGACGATTGGATAAGTTGCCTAAACAATAAGATATCTGCAGTAAGAGCTGCACTGAGCTCCATTCTATTTCTTGCCTGCAAGTCCTGATGCTATGCCACTAGATCGTGTGTCTAGTGGCATACAGACAGGCATTACAAGATAGGCATTTCAGCAGCAATTCTGTGATTAAAAATAATATCCTTTTTCTGGCTCCTTTTATTTGAAGAGATGAACCCTCAGCTGTTGATGAGCCCTCTGGTTTACAATATTTTTTGCCTTATTTTGAATTGAATTAGAACAAAATTTATTAATACACTTACTTGGTACAGGGGACAGTTGTGGGTCACAGGTGTCTGCCACTAGTATCTCTTCTCCATGGTGACTGTTCACTTGTGTAGAATACAGCGGAATTTTTCCAAACTCTAGGAGAAGATGTAGAAACATTTTCCCATGGTGAAATTGGGTATCCTGTTGTGATACTTTTATGTAGATATAGACCATAATCCTGATCTTAAAAGCACTTGAACATGAATTTTGGTATGTCAGCAGATCCAGCAATCTAAGAACATCTGATTATTTTTATTCTGAGGTATCACTATGAAAGATTAGTCACAAATATTTCATATTAATCCTTAATCCTTTCTCTCACAAATATGAGCCTCCAGTCAGCCATAAAACAATACTGACACATAATCACATCACTTTCTATGCTGACCACCTAAAAGGTATATATTAAATCTATATTTGACCTCTTAATGTGGCAACAAAACCATTAGAGAGTAAACCCTCTAAGGGAATAATTTTGTGCATCAGCTAAGGTAATGAAAAGGTGAAAAATCTGAGATTTGAATCATTACCAACTTTGTGCCATGTAGTCCTTTCTATCTGGACACCACAAACTTTTCATAGCCATTAACTGTCATAGGCATTTACACCATTTCTTGCATATTTAACTTTGGTTTAATTCAGTAGATCAATTTTTTATTCATAAAATGGAGAGACACAGGTATGTTTAGAAGGGAAAAACTGTTCGCAGCTCTAAAATTACATATGCAAAATAAAGAGCATGAATAACCAACACACCCTCTTCACCTCGCATCTCTGCTATTTTTATTCTTGGAAAGAGGCCTTCAGTGAAGGCTCATATTTAGATGCATTAATATATTATTTAAAACACTTTTTTTTTTTTTTAATTCCAGAAGATAAATTAACACATTAAGAGCACCTGGATTCTTTATCATGTTTCCTGTGTATCAGTAAAATACAAGCACGAAGTCCCTTATTTCACAAAGATACTTCTTACAGTTAAAATACCTTAGAGCTATTTCTGTGACATTACAGAATAAAGTTTGGAAATTAAATGTGCACATTACTTCTGGACTTAGACACAAACCAAATGCAAATAGTGTATCACTACTAGAAAAAGAAAGATCATTTACCTGCTAGAACTAGGTATCTATAAGTGCAGTAATATTACTTTAATAGCAGAATAATTGCTGAATGTGGCAAAACATTCATTTCACTCTCCACTAGGTGGTGACATAGCTGTGTGCACAAGTCAAACCCTAACAGATTTTTTTACTTAGTTTGCAGTTACAGAAGAGATACGGGTTGGAAAACTGCTATATTTGGATGTGTATGTGGATAAAGAAAAGTAGGAGGCTCAGATAAGCTTTGAGCATATCACTGATATAACAGTTACTGCTAAAGACACTTTTTCCTGACTCATGTATTAATAGCATAAATGGAAAAAAGCCAAACAAAAAAACCCCACAAGACTTTTTTTTCACCTTTACAATCAAATTTATGCATCATCTTTTTCTTTAGCCCTTAAACATGTATTTTAAAATTAATTAAAAAAAAAAGATAATACTCTTACCACTGTTGCTTTCTGCAAGTTCCAAATCTGGGTGTGTATGTTCTGTGTATCGGATATGCCTATTCTCTTTTTTTCTTCTCATACGATTAACCACAGAAAATGAAGAAGTCAGAACTGGAGAATCTGGAATGACTCCTTCTTCTAATTCCACTGCTTGTTGCTTTTGCTCCCTGAAGACCAAATTAGGTGGTCAAATAAAACCCCAAGGCAGCAAGACAAAGAGCTTACATTTCAGCAAGCAGGACAATCATATTGTTCAAGAAAGCAACAATTAAAAAAATACAGCCATCTCAATAACATCACAGTTAAAAAAAGCAATACTAGAACCCAGTTTTTAGATACATCTAACAACAAATTCACCATTGCTCCATCAAGCCCAAGAACAGCATACAACCCTAGCTCTTCACATTTCAAGTCAACACTTAACTACCGCACTATAGAAGACTTTTTCCCTTGAAGAAACCAGAGATTGTAGAGTGCCCAGCTTGTTCCCTGAAGCATGTGCTACTTGAAGGAAAGAATGCTGAAGGGGATGGACTACTGTCTCTCTCCCTGGATTGAAGCCCCTGCATACCCCAAGAATAATGTCTTAAATACAAAACAAAAGCTTTTGGCAATTTTAAATAACAATGAACAGCACTATATTCAAAGCAATATCTCTCCAGAGCACTGTATGTTACCTCTTATTCACCTCACAAAGGTCTTCAAGAGAGGAGTGTAAAACGCAATGTAAATCATGTGAAACCAGTAATGTAAAACACGCGTTATGAAGTTTATTTTCTCTCACACTCTATCAGCTCTAAAAGCATGCTGCAGAGTCAGTATGTAAAAATTAGCATAACGACTATGTATTTTCTCTCCAAAATCTCTATCTAGACACAGGAAGGAAATAACAACAAAAAAGCACTAATTTCAGTTCTTTTAATTAAGTACAGCTAGTTTACCACTTAAGGGCATTGCTACCTGTCATATGGTGGTGGTAATGGGACATGGAAGAGGCAGTAAAAGAAGAACACAAGGAAATCTAATTCAGTCTGCTTGGTCATCTTTCTGCAGTAGCACTTTTCCTTACGACTCTCAAGAGAAAACATTGGCCAGAAGATCACTTTCTAACTATAAAGAGAAGGATGTAAGGTTTTGATCTAAGGGAAGAGGAGGAAATGTGGATATATTTCTGCTTGCATTGAATGAATCACAAGATCTTACGTAAAACAAGTTAATGGAAAACCGTAGAAAGCTGCTCGGCTTGAGACAAAAAGCATTTTTGCAGTCAGGCCTTTTACCATTACTAACTTTGAACACTTAACGACAAACAAATTGATGCACTGATGCTCTGAAGTTTTGACAAATCCCATTGTGTGATTTTGTAATTCCTCTTTTCTAGCACATTTACAAGTAAAGCACCATAACTGGAAAACTGTATCATCTACTAACAATATCTTAAGAAACAAATCAAAACAGCAGAACAATATATTCATTCAGCTACTCTGCAAATTTAACTTAGGTGTCAGAGCTCTCTTTAAATTTACTGGCACATGTGGCCTTGTGTGACAGATCACAGAATCATTAAGGTTGGAAAAGACCTCAAGGATCATCAAGTCCAACCCAACAACACCTAACTCACAAAATCATGTCCTGTCCCTAAGCACCACATCTACATGTTTCTTGAACACCTCCAGGGATGGTGACTCCACTACTTCCCTGGGCAGCCTGTTCCAATGCCTGATCACTCTTTCAGTGAAGAAATTTTTCCTAATATCTAGCCTAAACCTTCCCTGGTGCAACTTGAGGCCATTTCCTCTTGTCCTATCACTTGTTACAGGTAGTTGTAGAGAGTGATAAGGTCTCCTCTCAGCCTCCTCTTCTCTGGACTAAACAACCCCAGCTCCCTCAGCCGCTCCTCATAAGACCTGTGCTCCAGACCCTTCACCAGCTTTGTTGCCCTTCTCTGGACCTGCTCCAGCACCTCAATGTCCTTCTTGTGGTGAGGGGCCCAAAACTGAACACAGGATTCAAGGTGTGGCCTCACCAGTGCTGAGTAGAGGGGCACAATCACTTCCCTAGTCCTGCTGGCCACACTATTGCTCATGCAGATAAGCCTACTATAAATGTGTTTTTCTGTACCTTACTTCCATGCAAACCAAGATGTAGTTCCTACATACCATCACAAAAACCTACCAAATAAAGAAGCTGCCATACATACCATACATCATAAATATGCAATAAATAATTTCTCAATCATTGAAACTTTTATCTGAGACCCTAGAAAAGGTTTTTACAGAAATTTCCTTCCTGTTTCCATCCATATAAAATGAAATCCTAATCTGATGAAGGATCAGGTAATACAATTCTTCTAAAATTCCACTGATTTCACTTTTACAGACTATGCTTAGATTTTTCCCTAATATATTAAAACCTTGGTAAGAAAATACAGAAGAATGCAAAAATCTAATTTCACGTCATGCACCAGAAACAACCTGATACCTTGCACCTACATGATGATGCTATATTGATCTAAGTAAATAAAGTAACATGACCATAGTTCAACCAAAACAACAAAATGCAGTGGCTATATTACAAACAGCATGACCATGCTTGTTAACTGCTGTTTATCCACACAATTCTGCACTCACTTAAATGACCACCTAACATGCAGAGCAAATAACTTAGTGTTACATTCGTCATTCTTAACTTTCCTACAGTGGCTGGAGATTTTTACTGGAAGCTAAATTGCAAGACTGTGGATCAAACTAATAAATTTGGATGAATCTGTCTGGTGTCAGTTTTTTTCAATGTCACCTTCTAACTGCTGTCAAGCTGCACAGGAGAACCATTACTGAGAAGAAATTATACATTGAGAAGCATATAGAAATTTGTTCTACTTGGTATTAAAAAGGAGTACTCCTAGGGTCAAGAAATATCTTACTCTGAGAAGATGAAATGCATACAGAAAAAAAATAAAGGATGATTAAGGTGCAAACAACAGGAGACAAATCAAACACTACAAAGTCATTTTGAACTGAACCCTAAGTTGTTTTACTCCTCCACTAAAGCTACTTTCTGAAAAAGAAAAAATTACATGCAGAAAAAGCCTTACCTATCAAGTCCATACATCCTGTCCTGTCCCATTCCCCCGGGCATGCACACAACTTGTTCACATACACACAAAACTGAGATAAGTTTCAGATGATGTCAGACCATAGCTACACAAGAAAGGAATACTACCTCTGCCTTGCACAGTGCACCATATTTTCAAATTAACCACAACATTATATGGCACATTCTTGCTGTCATATCATAATCTGATAGATTACAATTTGACAGTCAATTTAAAGCTCATTATATTTATGGTTTTCTTTCAAAATTTACTGTTTTTTCTTTTTAGAATTGTAAAATTATCATAAGCTTATTTTAAAAACTACTGCAAGATCCTGAGACTTTTTGACTAACTGACAAACTACTTTTTTAAAGTCTTAACCTAGGAAAAAAGAATTGGTGAAGAGTCAACAGAGGAATAAAAGAATGAGACATAAGGCTTTGCTATGCATTGTGACCAGAATAATCTTGAACAATCATGAATTTAAACAGAATTTCTATGACAAATTTATCTCTTTCCATTTAAAAAAAGAAAAATGCACACAGTCAGAAGAAAATAAAAAATCTGCACAACACAAAGATACTAGTTTTACGTTGTTACAGTGAGATTAGACTATCTTTTCACAATCTATTAAAAAAGAGGAAACTCAAGTTTTAAAGACGTAAAATCTGATATTTATATTCCCAGACACCACTAGTGAGGAATGAGGAGGGGTAAGGAGGAATATCCAGAAAACCTCAGAACTTACTCCAACTCCTTCTGTAATTGCTGGAATTGTTCTGTTATCTTTTTATTTTCCTCCTGTAAGTTGTTTTTTTCATTCACTGCAATTTATAGCAAAAAAAAAAAAAAAAAAGGAGGGGAAAAAAAATCAATGCACACATGTTAACATCATATAATATCTAATTCTGTCAGGTCCTTCAAGTTAACAGAACCAGTTCTAAAATGCAATACGATACACCCTCTCTATGGCTTACCAAAATGAATTTTCAAGGTAGTCATTAACAAGGTTGTCAAATGATGTGTTAGAAAAAGCAAAGTTGTCACAATTGCTGGGTCATAATATTAGTTCTATACAATCATTAATTACTTTTGTCCATGTAAATACAACTGAGACCACGCTGTAAAGATGAATGAATTTATCACTCAGTTTCATGGACAAAATTGCTTCCTCAGGTTGACAACAGCCTATGAAGTAGTTAGCATTTCACGTTAGCATTGAAGCAACCAGCTAACTGGAGAGAAAGAAAACCCAATTTATTAAAAATCAGTTAAATATTTTGGAATTTAAGAGAGACCAGTCAGATATTTTTAATTTCCAATTCATTCTGACTGTACTTCACACAAGCTTACTGCATCACATTCAGCCCTTTTTCCACACTGTCTCAAACTAATATAGTGATAGGTCCCAACTTTTCTGTTCACTTTAGATTTTTATTTTCTTGTTCTTATTTTTTTTGTTGTATATTTCACCCCTGGGTTATTCTTGACTGACCTTTTTTGCTGGTTGCAGGAAACACAAAGATTGTCAGAGATCTCAACCCAAATCCATGGGAGACTACTGTTCTGTCAGAGTGTTCAAGAAGACGTGTACCTAATAAGACTCACCTTGATTTTTAAGGTTCAGAGCTTTACTTAAACATCGGTTGTACCATGTTTGTTGTTAATCATTAAACTCAAGGATTCAGAATATATTTATATAAATATCCAATATTAAAAGTCCTTGAAAAAATTATGCATTTTATATTAGTACAGAATCTAATATTTCTGTAATTTAATTAAGCACTGAAAAGCTACTTTTTGTGTCTGGCATTTTCTACATTTTCAATCTCATTTGATGTCTGCTTGCTCTTGACCAAGCAAGACAACTAAATGATACAAATCAATTAATTAATTAATGGCTAGGATACCATAATATTTTAAAAACATGTCCTGTGTTGTTTAGCCCTTTATACAACCGATCTTTCCAAACTCTTTATAAACAGATTTGTTGTGTTCTGCCTTTATGTCACCTAGAACAAACAGTTTATTTTTTCCTGCCCCATATGTACTACTTCCTGACTTCAAAATGAGCTGGCTACAAGCTGCCTCATGTAAAGCGATTCTTTTGTGGCTTCAGAGGGTTATGTTAAGGTTATGGGTTTACTGCAGTTAAACTCCAAGACTAGCTACAGGACACAAGCTGGACTCAGAAAACTTCTGTCTGAGCTTGCTACTTTGTGATCACCAGTTACTTTTGAGGTCAGGTTTTCCGTAGGAAAGCTGGCAATCAGTTATTCTATGCCTTAGCTTTAGGAACAAACAGAAGCAGCCACATTTCATCTAAAGTAGCCACTTTACACTGTAAGATTTTCTATGTCAGTTCACTTGCACTATCAGCACTTCAATCTACAAAGGTGGACCAAATGACTAGAAATTGGTATGGTACATATTTTCAGACCGCAGAGTTAAGTATGCCCACACCAAAATTCTTGGGCTTACTAAACACATCATATATAAATATAACAAATTATAGGAATCAATGAAAAAGCAGTTTACTAAATAGTATGTTTTGTCTTCAGACTCATGGATAAAACTTACTAAGCTCAGTGATAAGTTTAAGATTCTGCTGACGGATATTTTCAAACTCTTGCTGCTTCTTTCTCATATGTTCTTCAGTTACAGCACAACGATCACATAATCCTGCTCTTAATCTACAATAAAATTAAGAGGAAAAAAGTCCCTGTTAAGAAAATATTGCCATACATGAAGCAGATACCCACACTTACCTGGCCTTTTGAACAATGAACATGAGAAAATTTCTGACAACAGCCAAATACCGCTAAGTACTGTGGATTTATATGACGACATAGCAATATTTTGAAATTTGTGAATGATCTAATACTACATGTACTAACATTTGCATATATTT